TTTTTTTTTTTTTTTTTTTTTTTTTTTTTTTTTTTTTTTTTTTTTTCCCTTTTTTAGAACTGCCAAAACTGAGGTTTATTTATTTTATTTTTTTTGTCTAATAATGTCTCTCTCGTTCCTCAGACCTCATCTACACCTTCACAGTTCAGTACAAGCTCGACACTCTTCCATCAGAGCAACTTGTCAGAGCTTCTTTCATCCACCTGCACTCCTCTGCCATGGCGAGCACCGCTCAGACCGTGGAGCTGCCCCGCTGCCGGGCTCAGATCACCTCGCTGGGCACAAAGAGCCTGGTCACCATGGAGCCCCACAAGCAGTGGATGGAGACGGACATCACGGCGCACGTCAGCGCTCACATCATGCAGGGGAGGGATCAGGAGGATGAGGGGCACCTGACCCTCACAGCCCAGTATTGGTGCACGAAACCTGGGCTTGCAGATGAGGACAGCGGTCCCTCGTGGTGGGGGAGAAGACAGTGGAGTAGTGAGTCTCACTTCGCTGCTCCCTCTCTCCTTCTGTATTTGGAGGAGGAGAGGGAGGTGAAGGAGTGGATGGGGGACTTGCTTGGGGCTGAAGGGGGAAACGTCATGAAGCTGGTTGGCTGGTGGCACCCTTCGAACCATCGCCTCCGCCGTAGTTCCAACGAGGACTCGTCGTCCGAGTCTAAAGATCCATCACTGGACGCTCTGAAAAACGCCCTTACCTCCTCTTCGTCTTTCTCCACCTCCCCCTCGTCCTCCATCATCTCCGATATCCCCAACTACAAGCGCAAGACCAGCATGCCCAAGAACCGCTGCAAGCTCCACTCCTTCCGCCTGTCGTTCGATGAGCTCGGCTGGGGCCATTACTTCATCGCCCCTCCAGTCTATAACCCTCGATACTGCCAGGGCGACTGCCCGAGGGTGCTCCACTATGGTTACCACTCCCCCAACCACGCCATCATCCAGACGGTCCTCAACGAGCTGGGCGTTGGCGACGTCCCCCCTCCGTCGTGCGTGCCGTACAAGTACATGCCCATGAGCGTGTTGGTCGTGCACAAGAAGAAGGTGGAGTACAGGGAGCTAGAGGACATGGTGGCTGAGTCCTGCACGTGTCGTTAAGGACTTGACGGGGGGGCTTGAATGACTCGAACATGCTTAGCACTGAGAAGACGCTGATCCATGCAGATTTGTCAGGTCACATGTTTGACTTGCAGCTAAGCATGATGGGGTTCAGGCTGGAAGGTGGAATTTGTAGTGGTTTCAGATCTGTTTGCACTTTAAATCCAGTTTCTGTGTATTTACTCTTTTGCATGTTTTAAATCTGATCTGTTCACGTCAGGGCTGCAGTTGAACCAAAAAGGCCTTGATTTGTGTACTTAAGGATCACTGGATAATGTATTGCCACTGTCTGAGGCCATTTACCTCTAACACAAAGGGAAGCTTTTTAATGAACAATGGATGAAGAGAAATGAGCCTACTTTGGATGTGCAATGTTCCATTTTTGCCGTTTACAGACTGAACTTTTGCTGTTTGTATTTATCTGGGAGGTCTCCTGAAGCCAACTTGGGCCGTGTCTGAGAAAATGATCACTACGTTGGATGTGACGGTGTTTATATGCTAAAGCAGCTGCTGCGATGAACTTTTTTTATTAGAAGTGAAAATGATTAATAAAATAAATAGCATGTTTTCTAAAGTCTTATCATTTGTGAGTTTTGTCAAATTCCAGGAATGTTTGCAAACTTCAAAGTCAACATGAGGGATGTGGCGGTGCATGCATGAAGCTGACGCGTTGAGGAAAATAGGGCTCCAATTAGGGCTTTAACAGACTCCTCGAGTAATCTACACATCAATTCTTTCGAGTTTTAATTTCAAGTCGAGTATTCGTGGTGATGCCATTACGCCGCCGTTACGTAATTCTGTCACGTGATCCTGCACCGGGCGCAGATTACAAAATGGATTCCTCCAAGCAGACGGATGGCACGGAGAAGGCCCAGTTTTGGCAAACGGGTAGAAATCCATCAATGGTCTGGAAATATTTCACTAAAGATTAATCTTCTGGTTCAACTACCGTAAGGAAACAGAAAATGAAACGACTTCCTGACTGGAGCTCTTTGCAAACCGGTGTTGCACCCTATTTTGTGACCACCGTATATTGTGACCATAGGGGGCAGTGTTGCATGCACTGTGGCAGGTCACAGAATATGGTGCAACACCGGGTCCAATGACCGAACCAGATCCAGCTTCCTCTGACCTTGTTTCACAAACAAAAAGCAAAAAATATTAATCTCTAAACCTAAACCTGTTTCGTTGGTCTTTTTTTGTAAATAATGACCTTTTTTGCGGTTTTATTTTATTTTTATATCTTTAAATCCTATGATGTCATCAAGCACTTGAGTTATGCTCGAGTTTTATGTTAATGTCGTTTAAAAATTATGTAGTCATTCAACCCCTAGCTCCAATTATCCATCCATTCTTTACACAAACCTTCATCTCCAGGTCACTGGGGATGCTGGTTTCCATGTCCCAACAGTCGCTGCAAAGGGCAGGAAACACCCTGGACAGGTCTAGAGTCCATAACAAGGACACAACCATTCACTCACACACACCTAGGGACAGTTACCGCTCAGCCTAACGTATGATTTTGGTCTGTGGGAGGAAATGCACGGAGAGAACATGCAAACTGTTTTCTACCCAAAAGGAAGTAGAGGGAGTTGCCATCTGAAGTATTCTGCATGAGGGATTTTGAAAGTGGGGGAGCCAGAGTTCTTCAGGTGGGGCACAATGTGAGCAATTAAAATAAACAGTTGAGAAAAGAAGGGATTGTGATGTTAGGCGTTGGAAAAATGTATTCAATGTTTCAAAAGTGTAAAAACTGAAAAATACAGATTTTTGTTCGGCAGTTTATTTGCTCTCTGTGGGGGTTAACACTCCCCCACTTTGACAATCCCTAAAGGCTACTTGGAGAGAGAGGGGAGGGGGGGGGGGGGGGGGGGGGGGGTTGGGGGGGTGTTATCCCTTTATGGAATAAGGTTATATGGAAAGCAAAAGTGGTGGCACAGAGATTAGAGAAGGTGGGCCTGTGATCTGAAGGTCACCAGTTCAACTCCCCTGATCGACATCAAAATGTCGGTTGAAAAGGTTTTTTTGTATAATTTCGTTTTGATATTCACGTTTAATTTTTTTACCTTGACGTGGCATGGTTTGCATTAAAATCCGAATGAATGACACGGTACAAAGTCTTCATAGTTGAAGGGCGTGAAGCTACGCTCGAGAGTGGACAACTGGAAATCCATCCACAAAATGTGGCTGGATATAGAAGCCTTGTTATGTGACAGCGCTCTAAATCACTGCTTTTTCTTAAAAATATGAAAACAAATAAATGCTGTAACAATCCAATTACTGTTAATACAGTCAAGGCATGGAGAGCAGCTCAACGTATTGAGGGGAAAACTGGGAAAACTTCCCCTTTCACCCCCTTGGTCCATAACCCTGACCTCCTTCCAGGTATGCTGGATGCAGGTTTTGGGGAATGGGCAACTAATCGGGTATTTCATTTTTAGGCTGTCTTTTCAAAGATCGGACCCTCATGTCATTTTACTTTACTTAATTTCACTGACATCTCGGCCGTTGAAAAGCTGTTTTTCGAAACTCGTGAAGCGTCACTTAGTTTGTGCTATAAAACATTACAATGTCAGTACAAGTCTGACTCACCAACTCTGGTCCAGACCTGGGGAGGAGAACTGAATATTGAGATTACTGAAGAAATGTGGAGCAGTATTTGGAACTCTGCCAGAAAAATTACTATTTGTAATCACTCCTCTGCAACTGAAATTACTGCATAGAGCTCACTTGGCCCCAAACCGGTTATCTAAATTTAAACCTGGGTATTCTTCACTGTGCCACGAATGTAAAATACATGAAGGCAGCCTCACACACTGTCACTGGTCATGCCTCAAGAGCCAGGTATACTGGGAACCTATTCCAGTTGAAATCAGGACAATTATCTAAATTAATCTCAATCCAGTGTCTCTCCTCCTGGTATTGAATGAGTCTATTGACTGAAGCTCACGTGTCCACCATCTTGTTTCGAGCATTTATTAACTCTTAGAATGGACAAAAAAAAATGATGAAAATATATAAACCCCTAACTTTCTTTGGTTTCTCTTTTGGATTGTGCTGCTGAGCTTTTGATTTGTTTTGTGTTGTGTTTTGTTCTTAAAGACAAAAATTAATAAATATATTTATAAAAAAAATGTAAAAGGTGCGTGAGACATGTTTTGATGCCGAATGGCCTAGGATATGGGATCCTTTCATTCAATCTTTATTTATACAGGTTAATCCCATTGAGTCTCAGGGACTCATTTACAAGAGAGACCTGAATTTAACAGAGTGGTGACAACAGTGGACAACAAAGACAATAATAGACAATCATGAAGGATGCGTACAAATTAAAACATTTTTTTTCCAAATGTTGTAAACCACAATTCATTTCTGTACCATTTTCAAAATCAGAAAACTAAATTTAAGATGCATTTAAAAAATTTAATACCAAGAGCCTTTGGTGGGACATGCCGACAACGGCAAACAGAATCTGCACTACCAGAGACCTGGGAGCTGAGGAGCATCTAATGTACAGTATACATAGAGTCTTTATACAAACAGGCCCGGAAATCTCTATATTTTTTATTTATTCTTATACATTTGGTTTAATTAACAGTATTTTTCTGTGATCAATAGAACTATTACTATGACTGTTTCCTTTTTTAATAAATGTGACAAAAGTTAAGGAAAATGAAGAACTACTGCTCTCAATCCAGCAGAGGGTGGTCTTCACAGTGATGTGTAGGCGAATCATGTTTTTATTCCTGATAAAAGATTTAACAGTTTGGGGGTTTTTTCCACATAAAACTCAAGCATTTTATAAATTTAACAAGAAAAGACAGTTTAATGCTCAAGCTTCAAAAGATCATTTGCACAATATCATAGAATATATACTGACAAAGTGCTGGGGATGATTCTCACATCAAACTTTAGCTCAACAACTGTAAAAAAAATAAAAAAAATAAAGACTTTTTTCTAGTTCAGTTGACTGTGGCAACCATTTTCAGTTGGGTTTGATCCAGAAGTGTATCCGTTGTAGATTTACATCCAGTGATTACTTTCTGTAAGTTTCTTTTGAATATATCCAGTAGTTCTTATCATATTTTACTAACAGACATGCACAGATTACTCCAACTGTTAGTAGCAACTTTTAAGCAAAGATCTTGCACAATAAGTTAGCATTTCGAGTATATATGTGGGGGGGGGGGGGGGTCAGTCTCAGCTACTATCACACTGAATTATAGCTCAATATTTAGAATTTTGATTGAGTTACCGCCATTTTTGTGTTTGTTAACGTCCATTAGCTGTGGTGAGTATCTTGAATTAAGTTGACATCAAAAGTGATTCAGTTGCAGATGTGCATCCAGTGAGTAATTTCTGAGAATTTCATTAAAATCGGTTTGGTGGTTTGTGAGAAATTTTGCTAACAGACAGAAACACAAACACACAAACAAACACAAGCCCAGGTGATAACAAAAGTTGAGTCTCACGTGGACAAATATTTGAGACCTCTGCCGCCTCTGTCTGTCGTAGCCTTTGGCCTTTTTACCAGGAAAACCATCTGAGGAGAGTTACACATCAGTACTCTAACACTCCACTCCAGTGTGCATATCTTGAGTGACATACTCATAATTTTTTTATTAAAAACACGTTTTTTTTTAGCTCATGATAACATGCAACCAGTTTGCATCAAAGCATTTTCATTTTTATTGCCTTGTGAAGAAACTCCATTGCTGGAGTTACAGTAAAGACACGAGTCAGAAAGTTTTCAATCAGTCATAAACTTATTGTTCTTATTTAGCGTCAGGATCAGCAGAGCTGGAGTTTTACTGGAAGCTTTTATTATCGAGTGACTGGAAGTCTGCTGGTCTTTCTCTGACCTCCTTGCCTGTTTCCTGATGAGGACTCCTGAGTGTGGAGGTTTGTCCTTGTCATCCTAATCTACTCTGACTGATGCACACACACACACAAACACAGGGGCACTATAATAATTCTACTCAAGAGTGTCCCTCAACAAAAGGAAGGTCCAACTTAAATACTATGCAAAGGATTTGTCCTACATTACAGACAACAATTATCCATCCATTCATCCCCTTTTACCTGCTTCTTCCTTTCTGGGTCACTGGTGCCCATATCCAGCAGTCACTGTGTGAGAGGCGGGGGACACCCTGGACAGGTCTCCGGTCCATCACAGGGCCACATAGAAACAAATAAGACAAACAACCATTTTCTCTCTCACTCTCACCTAGAGACAATTTAGTTACTAATCCGCCTAACATGTATGTTTCTGGTCTTTGGGATGAAACCGGAGTACCTGGAGAAAACCCACACATGCACGGAGAGAACTCGACCCAGAAAGGTCCCCGGCCGGGATTTGATCTGGCAACCTTCTTTCTTTTCTTTTCTGCCTTTTTTTAAATATAATTGATAAAACTTAATTGATGTTTCCTTGATTTATTGATAGTATGAGTTGCCACTTCTGAGAGAGATAGAACCAGAGGAAGCAGTGGGGGCTGGCTG